GTTGGTGGTGGTCCCGCCCTATTCCGACTCAATGGGTTCTTGCAAGTCTTAACATTTGGTCACCATTCCTATGCTTCTGAAAGATGCTGACCTCCCACAAGGTCTACCATTGCATCTGGAAGGTTATAGCTTCTCAATATGTACAAAATGTACAAAATGTTTAATGGTGGTAGCAACATTAGCGATAAACTGTTTAAAATTAACTCCGTTACAAAAACTAGAGGCCATAACCTAAAATTGGTGGAAAAAAAATTCCAGCACAAGGTGCGAAGGGGGTTCTTCACAGTAAGATCAGTTAGGGTCTGGAACTCACTGCCACAGGCGGTGATTTCAGCAAATAATGTGGAATTGTTCAAGAAACTTTTGGACGATTTCTTAAGGGACCGTAATATACAGGGGTACGGGTACTCCTAGAATGAGATCCTAATAGGTTGGACTTGATGGACTAATGTCTTTATTCAACCTCAAATACTATGTAACTATGTAATATAGCTTGGTGCAAAGTAAGGAAGTTTCATTCCTGGAAGTACTCCATGGAACACATTTGTCCTTTAGTCTGATCTAGATCAGAGTTTAGCCTTAAGTTCTATCAAGAGACAAATTTCTGCTTTGGAGAGTCTTTTCCAGAGGCCACTATCCTCTCACGCTAGTGAAGGCCTTTGTAAGGAAGTTGCTCAAATTGTCCCCCCTGTACGCAATCCACTGGCTCTGTGGGACCTCAACCTAGTTTCGTTGGCTTTGCAGAAGCCACCCTTTAAATCTCTGAGACATTCCTCTATGCCTACTTACAAAGTTGCCTTTCTGTGCGGATACCAGCTTCAGTCATAGAATTCTTCAGACGGCCCTCTAAGTTGTGAGCCCTTTCTGGTCTAGCTCCCTGTTGGGTTGGTTGGTGTAGGTTTCATTGGCCTGTTCACTGTTGTCCATTCTGTGATCAAGTTACAGATTTTATAAGTAATACAAAATTTTTTTTCATATCTCACTGCCCTAGCTTCTCCACTTTGTAAAACAAAAAAACACATGGAGGATGCCTATACTCTTTCTAATGCAGTTTTCTTTCTTTTAGGATGGAAGAGGATGGTAAGATGTATGTTAAGTACCAAGTGATTGGCACCAACAATGTGGCTGTCCCAACACACTTCTTCAAGGTAGTCGTCCTTGAGAAGTTCAACGGAGAGATTGAACTGAGACCCTACGTCATGCCAAACTGTCCTGTAGATGATAAGATCCCGCTGGAGCGCTTCTTGGTGCCCATAGACAGCATTGAGCGAGCTGCTGGTCTTCTGTTTGTACCGAACATTCTCAAGACAACAAGTAACTTAAAATCCATTACCGCTGGTGGCAGATGATGCTGTACCAATTTGTTTTGTCCGCTAAAAAGTGGACCTGTACTTTGCCCATAATCGTGCCATGCATAACAGATTCACTTTAAGCCCTCATTCACACTAGAAACGTCCGGCACGTACAGCTCCGTGCAAGGCCGTATTGGGCAGCTCCCGGGAAGGACAGGCGCTGCGTGTGATTAGTACGCAGCCCCCGTCCTTCTTCTCTATGGGAGTACGTGGCCATACGACTCCCCACACTCACCCGCCCTGCACGTCCATGCGGGTGTCCGTACTCATACGCTGACAGGATTGATCCTGTCTGTGTCCAAGCCAGGAAACACGCACCTGTACGGACCTGCACTTGGGGTGAGCATAGGGCGGCGTACTCCCATAGAGAAAGACAAGGCTGTGTACTAATCACGCAGCACCTGTCCTTCCCGGCAGCTGCCTGATACGGCCGTGCACGCAGCACGGAGTTGTACGTGACGACCGTTTCTATTGTGAATGAGGGCTAATGGTAGCTTCATCAGCGGCACATATTACCTTTCTATTTCATTGGGATTGGGAGCTTACACAGGACTGAGGAACCTCTTTCCACCCCCACGTTACAACGCTGGGTGACTGAGTAGCCAATCACCAGCATTGTCATGAGACAGGGGAGTGAGTCATATGCTCTCCCATTCTTGTATGTATCAGAATGGTGGGGGCCCAGCATGGGATAAGCACATGTTCACTTTAGAACTATGAAATCCTGTTGCTTTTTACATGTATGCACAATGACTAAAGCAACAACATAAATATCCATTAACATATGAGATGAATATATATTTATAAATGTGAAGAGATTTTAATCATGCATCCCATTGATAAACCATTGGTCTCCATTGATGAATCATTAGTCTCCTTTGTTTGGAGGACCAGATTAAATGTGTCCATTTCTATTCTTAATTTTAATTTCATTTTTAGATTATTCACATTATGTCCATATTTTAATCATGAGATTTAAGCGATCCATTTAATCAATCTCTTTACATTTATACATATATATTCATCTAATATGTTAAAAATGTATATTTAATGTTGTTGCTTTAGTTATTGTGCATACTATGTATCAAACATTATATATACATTGTCTGTGAAGGTTAGCCTGGCTTTTGAGGGTTAAAACTTCCCCTTTCTTCGTTAGGCCGGGTTCACACCATTTTCCGGACTAGATCTGGAACATAGTGCATTGTGGTTTTTGAATTTTTTTAGCTTAAAATGGTCTTACAGGTGCGTTCAAGACCAGACAAAATAGCACAAGCAGTATTGCAGAAATAGCATAGGGATACATTGGGATGCATTTTGGGTCTGGAGGTAATCTGGATGTGGTGTGAATGGGCCCTAAGTGTTTTTGTCTGTCACATATGCCCGGCAGCTTGAACTTCTCTCCCAGCACTGGCACGGATCTCTCTGTGCGGATGCAGTCAAGTCACACAGAGCCTGTTCATGATGTTACTTTGTCCCTGATTGGGCGGCGAGCTGTTACTCGTAGTGGGCAAGGCGATCAGAGGACTGTTCGGTCCTATGTTGACTGAGGGATTTACACGCCCTGAATGGGCGGGGCTTACGACTATCACGTTCCATTTGTCAGCTAGAGGCTCTACTGATTGGCTGTTAGCTTCTATTTAAACTAATTCAATGGAAAGGGGGAAGAGGTTAGGATCTGAGGAAGGGGGTGTGGCCCCAGAAACGCATTAACCCAGGCATACTGTGCTGTTACACAGGAACTGTCATCTGTGCAGCTCTCACATGCTGTGTCTTGCTTTTGTTAAGACTGATGATCAACTTTTGACTTTGAAGGCTTATTGTCATCTACTCTTTTGTGAGTATTATTCTATTTTTGCTATTTGCTCAATAAAAATGTATCTACACTAGGAAAGGCGCCCCGTTTTTGTTTATCAGATATCACAGTCTCCCTGACTGTTGTGGGGCAGCGACCTGTAGAACGTCTGCGTCCATATTTCTTCCGCGGAGTGATCGACTCTGGCGCTATTGGCTTTCATTTTTCCATGTAAAATGTGTTGACAGCTTCTGCTATGCATGTTTGATTAGTCATTACCTATGATTGGCCACAAAGGAATATATGCTGTAAAAAATGATGCAGGCTGTAATTGCTTGACCTCCTGTCTGTGTCCCAGTCTTCAGGGACCTAGCGCAATATGCAGATTAAAAAGTCACAGCTGATCTGCATACTTTTTCCATCCTACCTTTGCTCTAGGCCAGGGGTAGGCAACCTTGGCTCTCCAGCTGCGCTGAAACTACAAATACCATCATGCTTCTGCCTTTGGGAGTCATGCCTGTGGCTCGTAATGCCTTATGGAATTTGTAGTTTCAGCACAGCTGGAGAGCCGAGGTTGCCTACCACTGGTCTAAGCTAATAAGATAAAACCTGATTGGTTGCTTTTAAAGTGGATATTGTATGGTGTACTTCGTTAAAAGCAACCCTGTTTGCATAATCAAGATTGAAGCCATACCTGTGGCCCGCACCACTAAACACAGCTCCAATGTTGAGAAATCTTCTTCTGAAGTACATGCTATAAAACAGACACTTCCAGGAGTGATGATCTCCTGGGTCTCCAGCAGCTTTCACTGGTTTTTCCTGATGACTTTACCTTACCCCATTAGTAGTGACATGGAGGTCAACAGGAGAACCCAGGACATCAACACTCCCTTTGGACATCAGAGGAGGATTTCTAATATAGCGGCCTTCTGCCAGCGTAAGAAAAGTGTCCATTCCCTCTTATTTTGCAGGTATGCCCGATTTACAAAATGTTATGTGATGACAGAGTCTCATAAGAATGTAATAAAATAATTTAATTAGTAGTAGGACCTTGTCATATGTACAGAAAATGTAGCATGCTTCTGAATTCTTTACAAAATGCGTTTGTCAGAAAGCAGAGATCTTCCTTGCACTGCGGTTGCACAGTCCGAGCTGTAAAGTCTTTCCAGAGATCTCTGTACACTGAACTTGGGTTGTCACATTGTAGGAGATTCTGGGGGGAAAAAAGTATTTGTTGCTCACATCAAAGTATCTTTATCCAGCACGTACTAGACAAAAGGCTGATCATGGCCCACATATTCTTCTCTGGTTTCATTACACGACATGCAGACGACTTAAGAGTTCCCAGAATGCACAGTTCAGCTTTCTTTGGCTTGACAAGATGCAGCTTCTATTCTGGGCTTCAGCGCTGTTAGTGAAATCAAGATGGCTTCCTGCAAGGAGAAAGAAACTAGTATGATTCTTTTAAGTGGATCTATTCTCCAGCTAATAAAAAGGTACAAAAGAAGTAAACGTGGCACAAGCAGAGTCCTAGGTCAGGATTTATTCTCCAGATGTAAGACCTCAAAATCTGGAGGAATAGAGGCTGGCTGAGCAGGACCTGCTCCTTCTGTACTACATCGGCAAACAGAAAATGACTTTTTTTTTTCATGGTACCAAAAAATAAACAATGTATTTTATTAAAGGACTAACAGTCATGATGTTATTTTAAGACCTAGCGCAACATATTTGCAATCACTACGGTTTCACTGACACAGTGTTGCAGCTGGTCATTGAACTCTGACTCCCAGCGCAGTGAGTGTGTTTCATCATAAAATGTTAGTTCCTGGTAATGACAAGAATGATTTTACATTTATTTTTTGGTTTATTCTTACCATCAAACACCCATGTCCTTTGTTTGCTAATGTAGTACAGCATAGGACTGTGGATACAGAACTGGAGCCCATTACATAAAGAAGAACTCCAAGATTTAAAAAAAAAAAAAAAGGAACGCTTGCATTTTGACTAGAGGTCAAAAATGATGAAGAAATTCTCACCCAGTCCTCAGTCCTTCCTGACTGCTAAACCGGTCACCACAGCCCCTTCTAACCCATGCTCCAACGCACTAAGGACCTGTCATGTCACCACATCTGAAGCAGTCCATACCACAGCAAGACCGAAGGGGGGAGAGAAGTGAGTAGTCACTGCCACTGGACCGAGGATCAGATGACTATATCTTCTTTATTTTTGCCCCTAGACTAAAATGAGCAGTTAAAAGAGAACTACAATGTAAGTGTTTTTCCCCATAGTTCTCCTAAGGGTCAGGGGAGGACATATACTAGCATCCTCCTGTGACGCAAAGCTCAGTATATCGCACGCTATAGCTCGCGGTATACTGAGACCGCCGCAGCCGGGACGGATCCCGACATTACTGTCAAGATCCACCCAGCTGCGTGATTGACAGCTGGCTCTCATATCTAGAGGCAGAGCCAGCTGTACCCGCCCCCTCCCTGTCCATTTCTCCAGTCAGCGCTGGAGGAGCAGAGCGGGGAATCCCTACAGGGAGCCATGACTGACAATCACGGCTCTCTGCAGGGACATGATCGAGAAGTGAGCGAGCAACTGTATGTGTTCGCTCACTTCCCGATCTATTGAGCCGACGTGTGACAGCTTCTTTGTGACATGTCGGCGCAAACTATGAGGCTGAGTGATTTTCACTCACCTCATAGTTCTCCTTTAACCCTTGCAGTGCAGGAGAAGCCCTACTGTAGGATATAAAATAAGCTTATAACACTCCAGAACTTCACCCTAAACTGAACCTGATCCAAACACTCAATCCTCACCTTAACCTCAACACTTAACATTGTATCTAAAATGATGCCTGCCCTTAACACTTAAAGTGTAACTCCAAATGTTTTTTTGGGGGAAAAAGTGGAGGGCAGGGTAAAAACCTCCATCACTTTTTATTGCTGTAGCCATGTTGCAAATATTCTATGCTCGGAGAGTGCAAAATGTCTCTAATGAGGCACACACAGCATTTTTTTTAGAAGTGCAAGGAAGGGTAAGATCCTTTGTCAGGTCTTTAATGTGCCTGTCTCCCCATAAGGAAAATGCATCAGTGACGTGCCTTTTGTGCTGGGTGAGGCATCCCCCAGCCCGCAGAGGCCTCGGCCCCAGCTCGGTAACCAAGCTGTGTGAGGAGGAGGAAGGGAGGAGACAGGAAGGAGCCTCCCTGTCCCTCACTTGCTGATCACTGGTGAGGCATTGAGATCGATGTCCTCACTGATTTTTTTTTTTCAGTGGACATCTTGGACACCATGGTGCTTTGCCATTGGTCCAAACCATCCACAGAGCTCACGCCTCTAACACAGAGAAGAGGCTGTGACAGCTCTTGCCTCACCAAGTTAGGTTACACAAGCAGTGGGGAAGCCTGCTGCTGTGTAGCCTAACTACCTGTCAAAAGCCGGATGCAGCGCTGCCTGTTATTACCAGGCAGTGCTCCGTCCATGACAGGTTACACAGCGGGGAGGCTTTCCCTGCTCGGTCAACTGTAACAAGCCGCTCTATATGGAGAAAAAAGCTGTCAGCTTCAGACTTGAAGTGGACACCTTTTTTTCTTCCCAATACTCGGTGAGGCTCTGCCTTACCTGCCTCCCCTGATCACACGTCCCTGATATGTATTCACTTACTATTTAGTCACAGAGGCAATGAAAACAAGAGAGGTTATAACCTTAATCCCAATCAAACCTGTTTTAACCCATTTACTTCTGTCTGACCTAATGTGTCTTAATCAGGCCTATATAACTAATGTCATAGTAATAGCTCTAGACTCATTCTGGCTCTGGTTTCTGTGGCACTACTGCGGTGGAGGATTAGGTCTATGGGCTGCAAGTGCTGTTGATTGCCTGCTCAGTCACAGGCAGCCAAATCAGCAGTACAGCCTGAATACATTCGCCCTTGTACATTGCCCGAGGGCTAAAATTAACACCGATACCAATGGCAAAACAAGTCCAGGGCTGTGAGAAATCTTTATCTTCTTCAAAAAGAGGTTTTGTAGTTTTAGAGAAAAATTGGAAAATCCCTATAATTAAACTTCCCAGTGCTGATTGGAATATCGGCCAGTCTGTTGCCTTATCAGCACCGCCAAGCAGCTCTGAGGTTACCAATGCTTGGCTTTCTTCCAGGTTCACAACCTTACTACCATTATGGTCTGTGTGCAGGCAATACATTCCCAAGTAGAGCTAAAGAAACCCAAGGTGCTCTGATCCAGGATAGTCTTGGAGCTGCCCGGCTAGCAATGGGTCCGCATAAAACACTGGCAGTGACAATGTAGCAACAGCAGTACCCTGATCAACCCGAGTCAGATCCGTGAAAGAGTCCATCTGCTCAGCTGCGTTTTGAACCTTTTACCATTTCATATACAGTCCATGTAAATTGTATTTCTGGTACACCTAACGCTGACCAGTAGCTTTCTTCATAATGTGATTGGCGCAAGCACTGACCTCTGTTCTGATGGTGCGGCTGCCTTGCCCGGGGCATGTGTTCATGTAATAGTTAAACAGGACATTAGGTTCTTCGATGTCCAGGTTCTGGTCACTGTCTACGCTGGCTTCTAGTCCTTGGAGTCCTCCGAAGACAACCAATGCATGTCTAATAATGTGAAACAATAAAGTTACTTCACCATTGTCAGGTCACCAGCAATATTATAGAATGATATACATACACACAGAATCCATACAGCAGGGTCTCTAGCTACTATTACACATCTTTATTAACAACAAAATGCACCAAATACCTTCTGTCATTTTTTCCCGAAGTAAACAACGGGGGCTGCGTACTAATCACACAACGCCCATATCTGAAGCAGAATGCATCTCAGACCTACAACCTGATTGTGGTCAAGTCTCTAGAAGGAAACTTAGGACAAAACAGGCCCTAGAAGAAAGACCAGCTAGTGGCTCGGGCCAGATTTGAGCGGGTAATTCAATTTTCCCAAATACTTGGGAAAGTGAACTTGCCCTTTAATGCACATTGTGCATGTTAGAGAGCTCTGCTGCCTTGCTACCACAATATGGCACACCATGCCCTACGCGTGCCTTTATTCGCATGCAGATGGTGGGGGCGGCAGGGTTAGTTTTACTTTTTTTTTTCTTATGTTTGTGCGCTCCGATCCATCAGCGCTGACTGGAAAAAACAGACGGGAGAGGGGGCGGGTACAGCAGGCTCTGCCTCTAGATAGGCAGAGCCAGCTGTCACTCACGCAGCTGGGTGGATCTCGACAGTATTGTCGGGATCCGTCCCGGCGTCTCAGTATATCGAGGGCAATAGCCCGCAATATACTGAGCTTTGGGTCACGGGAGGAGGTTAGTATATGTCCTCCTGTGACCCTTAAGAGAACTATGGGGAAAAACACTTACCCCATAGTTCTCTTTTAACAACACACACACACAAAATCTTTATGTTCACAATAAGGATGGTGCTTATTTTTATTTACTATTACAGCAGAACTCCAGGTAAAAAAAAAAAATCTGAACTTCTGCAGTGGGGCTGCCCCCTTTTTTTTGTCATACCATAAGTTATACTCGCCTGAACCTCTGAGCCAGCTTGCTCTTAGACCGGTCCCTGGAGACTCTCTCCCCCTCCGCTGCAGTGCTCTAAGGTCCCCGAGTCATCACATTCTTTACACAGTGTATTGGACATGAGGAGGAGACAGGCAGGAAAGAGCGTGGTCATAGCCAGCTGGCTCAGAGGACTGGGTGAGCATAACCTTGTTCCTTTTTTAACCTAGACAAAAAACGAGCCCTTAACATTTGCAGTGCCGGGGCAGCCCCACAAACAAGGGTTAAGAACATTTTTAACCAGAGTTGCATCTTCCATAGTTACCTGAATGCTGGCAGAGTCAAGGCTTCCATACTGCTTCCTTTCTCTGAAGTTCCAATGGTGAGATCATAGCCATCCTTAAAGGTACATTCCGTGAAGACAGCACCTGGCAGGTCAGAGGTAAGTAAACTATAAGTCACCGCCCACTGACACAAACAGATCACATCAGGAATAGATGGTCTTACTCACTGAGGCAGGATGCCAGTCTCACTCTGTAGCCCCAGTAGACGCCGCTCTCTGTTCTAGGATGTTGTGGGGACACCACAATCCCTTTCCTTACTTTCTGTTCTACAAAATAAAAACACAAATTGTAAAACTTTCACTTACACTCTGATCAGCAGGTAATGGGAGAATACCTGGATGCTTTTTAATATGCATTGTATCCACATTTAAAACTAATATTGTGGATTTAAAGCACACAGAACATATGGCAGTATCTTAGCGCATACAGACCACTACCACCTTGGCAACCGGGCCCCCATTTCCCAATGACCCCCTTCTTTATCCCTCACCTCTCTCCTTCCCTCTTACACTCTCCCTCTCCTATTCATTATTGTCCAATTTCCATCCCACAAATCTATTTCTTTGGTTTTCAGTTGTTTTCTGTTCTCTCTCATTTTATGCCCCTTGTTTTGGGGACACTTATTTGCCTATTATGATCATAGAAAAGACCATTGCAAAGATAAGAGAACAGAAGCTTTCTTCTGGGTTCCATTATGACTAATAGAACAATGTAATCTACTTATACCATTGTCACACCGGATTACCAGACTTTTCTGCTCACCCAGATCTGTAACAACAATTTATCAAAACTGGAGCAGACAAAATCTGGAGCAACCAACCAGCATCCACCTTTCATTTTCAAATCTTAACTGATTAAACTGAAGAGAGAAGCTGATTGGTTGCGATGGGCAACTGCTCCAGATTCTCTCCGCTCCAGTTTTTATAAATTCCCCCACAGTGTTATGTGTGCGCAACACCTGCAATGTGACATTCTTGTCTCTGAATAAAGAATTTGCAACAAAAAAAGTCTAATGAAGTCACCAACTGTCTGCAGAGTTAATAGCTACAGACCTCCAAACTTCGTGTGGCCTTCAGATTGGCACAACAGTGTGGAGAGACCCCTTCTTCTTCCAACATGACTGCGCTCCAGTCCTGACCTCAACCCCATAGAACACCTTTGGGATGAATTAGAGCGGAGACTGCGAGCCCGGCCTTCTCCTCCAACATCAGTACCTGACCTCACAAATGCGCTTCTGGAAGAATGGTCAAACATTCCCATAGACACACTCCTAAACCTTGTGGACTCCTTCCCAGAAGAGTTGAAGCTGTTATAGCTGCAAAGGGCGGAGCCAACTCAATATTGAACCCTGCGGACTAAGACTGGGATGCCATTAAAGTTCATGTGCGTGTAAAGGCCGGCGTCCCATTACTTTTGGCAATATAGTGTATATATACTGTAGTATAGTATAACTTACCATTATCATTATTTGCATAACATCCTCGTGTTTATGAAAAAAATGAATACACCTAGGAGCCCATTTCTAAAGCTGTGGTATGGCCTAAGTGTGGCCCTACCATTAATTTTGTATTAAGAGCACCTCCAACACATATCTAAAGCACTGCTGTATGCTTATAAATGCATTACATCTGTTGAAGCAAGGGGAACCCCATTCACTCTAATAATTGGGGAAAAATGTGTGCCTGAAGGAAAAGGAAATCTGTCACACGACCTTGGAACAAGCAAGGAAACATTATGCCTTCATAAAGGTCAAGTGATAGTGCTCTCTGAAGCATTATACAGAGAACACATTGCAGGCCATCGAGGGCTCCACACTGAACCCAGCATTTTAAAATAAAACATTGCCACAATGTGTGGAATATTTCCAGCAAGGTCTTGCAGTGTGCGGAGAGAGAAAATCAGGCCCCTTATGTCTGTGAAGGTTCTCATTCATCCAGGTCATGATATAGCTGTAAAAAATAAGTCAAGGCAACTGGACTTGCTGTATTTTTCTTGAAGACGTTTCACTGGACATCCGACCAGCTTTTTCAATTCGATTTTGAGATTGAGAAAGCTAGTCAGATGTCCAGTGAAATGTCTTAATTAAAAAAATACAGCTTGCCTTGACATTTTTTTTTACAGATATATCAGGCCCCTTGGTTCAAAAACTGAGCTTCTCAATAAGAGAAGTGCTGCCTGCTAACCTGCTGACTGGCATTGCCAAAAATCCATACAAGGTCTTCATGAGCTAGCACTAGAAGGTGGTGGGTGTCTTCTGTTCTTTCAGCTGTGGACAAATCAAAATTTCCAGAATTCTCCACTAAACTACACTACCGCTACAGTAGAGTTCAAATATCTGGATTTGCAGTGTGCCGGAGTACCCAAATGTCTAGCAGTCCGTTGCTGCTTTACCATCTAGTCACAGGCTGGGGGTGGGGAGGCAACCAAGCTCTAATGCTTAAAAGGAGTACTATGAGGTGAGTGCTTTTCACTCACCTCATAGTTCTAGCCGACCTGTGACAATGAGACTGTCACAGGTCGGCTCAGTAGATCGGGAGGAGAGCGAACACATACCGGTGTTCGCTCACCTCTCGATCCTGTCACGGCTCTCTGCTGTGACAGGGGAGGGCCTGGATTCCCCTCTCCGATCAGCCAGCGCTGACTGGCGGAACGGACGGGGGAGGGGGCGGGTACAGCTGGCTCTGCCTCTAGATAGGCAGAGCCAGCTGTCACTCACGCAGCTGGGCAGATCTCGACATCGATGTCGGGATCCGCTCTGGCTGCGGCGTCTCAGTATACCGCGAGCTGTAGCTAGGAGAACTATGGGGAAAAGCCCTGACCCCATAGTTCTGCTTTAACAACAGTTGAATAAAAGTCGTCAATATGCTGGCCGTTTGATTGGACTGTGTAAATCTCAGGACTGGATAGACAAAAAAAAACCCTTTGGATGGTAAAATCATTTGTAAATGAGTATTCAGCTGTGTATGTATGTGCCTTGCTGGGGTTCAGCATTAGTCCAATCCCAGTCCACACGACTCCAATGCCATAAGCGATGAGAATAGAATACCTGGTTTATCTTCATGTAACTGCACTGTAACTCGGAGTCCTGCTTGCAGTTGCTTGTCTATCTGCACCTCCTATCAAGACAAGAGAACAATACCAACATGACTGACGAACTTATTTTGCTTTTTAAAATAAAATGCACAATAATAGCAAGTAAGGCAGTCAAGTCAATCTTAAGTATACTTGTGACAATGGGCCATTTTGAATATCCCAGAGGGTATGGCGAGCTCCACAGGGGGAGATTGTCGCATATAGAGATTTTCAAACTTGTTGGAAATTTCCCTACAAGTGGTCCTTCTTCCCTCCTAACGAGAATTTTTCAGACAATCCCAATTATTCCTCAGGGATACAGGCGGGAACTATAGCGTATAAATATGATCGTGGGAAATAATGTCAGAATCCTTATAGAGAACTTCTCTGCAACAGTCAGATCTCTGTCTTAGGTCTAGATAGCTCGCCTTCTGTATTCACCACGCACAGGCCTCTATTACATGACCTGTCTGTAGTAGTGGCCAACCAAACAAATCACAATTATAAGAGAGCCCCTGAAATCAGTATTTATTACACCAGGCGATAAATATTCACAGTAGCCAAGTGACAAGGCGTTAATAACAGATGCAAATACAGGTGTATGGGCATGCAGCGTAAAATACTCCTGTATTTGCGCTGCCCGGGAGTCCAAGTAGCTGCTTTTTTGTGTCCATAGGATTGCATGTTAGTAACCGTATTTACACGCGACTGAACCATCACTGGTGCTGTTGGAGGAGCCTGGGGGCTAGCCTCCTTCCTACTGACTATGGACCCAGAACTATGGAGACCCCCCTCGGACCTCTTGGGGTTACAATGAACCATTCTACCAGGTTTATGTGTGGAGGGATGTACTGTACATGTTCCCTGGCATTACATTTGGATGACCCTGTGTGTATTAAAGGTACAGGCTGTGACTCCAGCAGCACTGAAGGGGGATAATTCTGGACATTGAACTTTTACAGTATATTGGTCCCTTTGATGTATTGTGTTAATGATGGGATTAGGATAGCTGATACTAGGAGTAGCTGACTCCGGGTGTAGATGAGTAGATCACCCTATGATACACTCAGGAGATAATCCCATCACATGTGTCTCCTCCCTCCCTATTCATTAAGGCATCGGGGAGGGGATGTCTGTTTGCATGCTGTTCATGTGTGATTGCGTTATGTGTTTAGACTTCTTGAACTGTATATATACTGAGCTGGTCTTCAATAAAACAGATCCCTGTTGGAACTTACATACAGCCTGCCTGGTGTTTGTTCTGAGCTATCACAACTGGATTCGAACGGCGCATAGCTGTAGTTCGAATCCCGGATTATCAGACGATCGAAGAATCAGACGTGCGGTCTGACATCTGATCCAATAGTAGCAGAGGAGTGCCGGGAGAGTGGAACCGAGCGAGCAGGGGCTCGTTACACACGTCTATGCCCGCATACAGTGTATTCTGTCCATGCAATCCTATGGAGCGTCCTGAAGCGATTCTCCGTTCCCCGAACTTCTGGGTTGCGGGGAGGATACTGATGGCAGAGGAGCCATAGGCTCCTTCTGCCATCAAAGAGGGAAGGGGTGTGGCCTCCCACAGGGTTGTATGCGTCTATGGACGCACACAGCCACTGCGGGCACGGGTGCCTCCATTAGAACGATGGTGGCACCCGTACAGGGGTGAGGGGGGAAGATCGCTGCGGGGACCCACTAGAAAATGAGGAATTAAATAGTTTTAAAGAAAAACACAACAGCCTCCAGCAAAGGAGGGTCTCCTTAAAAGGAAAAATGTTTTTAAAAATAAGGCTTTAATATCACTTTAAGCTTTGAAAATGAAAGAGAGAAGCTTATTGGTTGCTATGGACAAGTGCTCCAGATTTTGTCTGCTCCAGTTTTAATAAAGGTGTATTTTATGCTGTATGCCTGTATTTGCGTCTGTGTGGATGAGCCCTAAACTGCGTCAGTACTTCAGAGAAAGGTCGTTCTAAGGTCTCGTTCACACCTAGGCGTATTGCATATGCGCGACCGTCGCGCGTTTTTTTACCGGGATTCGCTGTAAAAAAAAGTCGCACGCCAAGCGCGCGTTTCCGAAGACTACTTGGCTGTATCCCAATGGAAACGCGCAACAAAACAGCCCAAAGTAGTACATGTACCTTTTCAGGCGTGGGCCGTTTTGTAGCGCGTTAGGGACGGGCGGAAATACGCCAAGGTGGGAACGAGACCATTGAATACAATGGGATTTATATTTGTGAACGTTTTGTATAGCGTTCGTCGAGCGTAGAAAGAGCTACAAAACGTTCAGGTGTGAACGAGGGCTTACTGTTTCTGCTGGAGCGACAGAACGTGACCGGCAATGACATTCGCTCAGGCATGTAAATAATTTGTAACACTGCACCAGGCAGAGGTGCGAAGAATGTTTTCACATTCTTAGTGTTCCTTCAGTCACAGAATGACCTCCGCCTGCTGCAGTGTTACAAATGATTTACATTCTTGAAGCTCAACAGAAAAGGAAAAAAAAACGAAGGCGCGCAGCTGACTGGCACAGAATGTGTGGATGGTGAATAACCAGGTTTAATAATGGATTGGAGGTAAATTTTTTAAAACGTTGGAATGAAATGGGCCGTGTTTGACACTCGCGTGTGATGGAGTGGGCACAGTGGTGGGACAAATCCTGGTGATGTGGTCGTGGGGTCTCCCCGCTGGAGTGGAGAGGTGTCCCGTTCCGCCGACAGCTGACACGACAGCTTCTCTGCCTCCCGCCCCCCTCTAACTGGGTTACCTGGAGACGAGGACGCTCTCCCTCTGATGCCCAGCGGCTGTCTTCCCTTTGCACATTGCTCCACTCCTCCTCAAGCCACATTGCCAGGACACCAAGACCCCAGCTCACACCACCTGTCCATACAGGACGGACTCCTGCCTCTCCAACCCAGCAAAAGCATCACCATGAACATTAGATCTCCAGCCAGCCCAGCACTTCCGCAGTCAGGACCTTCCATCTGAACCCCCTCACAGCAAGTCTGCTCTAGGATCCCATCTATCAAGAAATTCCACAGGAACCCCCAAACAGCATCCCACCATGACTGACCAACATAGGAACAATTTCAAACAGCCACCTCAACATTTGGAACGTTATTCGCCACCGCGCCTTCTACCTGCCACAGTATTTTGTTAGTCGATGATAGCGCCACACACACACACACACCAAGATTTCACATCCAGATATACACACACATCTAGAAATTCTGAAAATTTTTATTGTTTCCTTCCCACATTGGTACACAAAACGGGATTTCGCTCAAGGATCCAGGCAGCCCACCGACCCCTCTCCACTCTAGCGGTGAGACTCCACGACCACATCACCAGGAGTGTCCCACCACTGAACCTACACCAACCCCATAAGAAGTCACCACCACTGTGCCCACTTCATCACACGCGAGTGTCAAACACCACCCTTTTCATTCCAACGTTTTAAAAAATTTACCACAATCCATTATTATTATTATACAGGATTTATATAGCGCCAACAGTTAAACCCTGGATATTCACCATCCACACATTCTGTGCCAGTCAGCTGCGCTCCTTCCTTTTTTACTTTTCTGTTGAGCTTCACATAGTTGGACACCTTGGCCTAACAAAAGGAGCCGCACACCAGCCTTAACGCATCACCCTAGGAGTGCGCTAGCCAAATCAGACTAAATTTTTATATTCTTGAGCCAATGGAAAGGCTAGTCTCCCTGTGACATAAAAAATATTACTAAATTAAAGTGCTAAATATAGCAAAATAGCCCAGATGATGGAGAGGAGGAGGGAGGAGGATGAGAGAGGAGGATGAGAGAGGAGGATGAGAGAGGAGGATGAGAGAGGAGGATGAGAGAGGAGGATGGAGGAGAAAACCTCATGTATTAAATATATGAAAAAATACATGCTCTATTTAACTCTTAGCAAATTGAAGCTAACATGATCAGAACCGATACATTTCAACGTGGAACTGTTCTATTTCCTAACCTCTGAATAAGGTAGGTACGCTACAGGAGTCCATTTAGTATTGGGGAATATTTTAGGGGTTGAGTTATATTACAGATAGGCCCAAAACACATGCAGATTAAGTGCATTGCTGTGCCGTTCATTTTGAATGGCACTCCAATATGCTGTGGCAATGCAGCTCTGACGCACATACGTTACTGTGCACAACAAAGCAGGAAAAACACTTACATGCACTGCATCGGACAAAATACTGCATGCCCAATTTTAGTTTATTCTTCTGCGCTGGCAGATCATTTTAAATGAATGAGCTGCCTTAACGCAATGCAGTGACATAACAAGCATTAACGCAAAGTGTGAATAGGCCCCTAGGGTCAGGAATTAGCAGGCAGTGTTTAATTGTTAAGGATTAGGGGTTGCTTTTCAGGTTTAAGGTTAAAGCCCAACTCCAAACTAATGCTCACTTTCTACATACTGATCCCTCTTACCCACTGCTTTATGGCTGACTTTTTCTGTAAATGCAGAATTTCCATAGCTAAATCATAGAGGTCTACGATTAAAGGAGAACTATGAGGCGAGTGATTTCCACTCATCCTCATAGTTAGAGCCGACGTGTGACAAAGCAGTCACAGGTCGGCTCCATTGATCAGGAAGTGAGCAGAAACATGCAGCCAATCCGCTCACTTCCAGATTGGTTCCCTGCAGTGACTGATCTACCTCTAGATAGGCAGAGCCAGCTGTCACTCACGCAGCTGGGTGGATCATGACAGTATTGTCAGGATCCATCCTGGCTGCAGCAGTCTCAGTATATCATGAGTTATAGCTTGCTATATACTGAGCTTAGGGAGGAGGTTAGTATATGTCCTCCCGTGACCCTAAAGAAAACACTTACCCCATAGTTCTCTTTTAAGCTGAGAAGGTTAAATGTGTGACAGGTTTGGCATCTCGATCTATATAGATATCGATCGATCTATATAGATATCGATCGATCTATATAGATACCGTGAGGGACAGTGCTGTGATAACTAAAGCAGATTTTTGCACAGCTGCCTATCCAAGCATGTTGGCAGGTCATAATTTAATCCTATTTTCATAGCTGCCTATCAACTGATGTAGGCAGATCGCGACCAAGTTCTGTGCTCATCGTACAGACCCATAGAAGGAAGCATGATGTTATTAAGCACACTTCTCCATCTAAGGACTATAAGAATGGGTGAGACCTAACTGGGACCTATTTCCGCTTATGGAGAGAATGGTGGTGCCCAGTCACAAACAGGAAGGGCAAAAACAATGGAGGAATACAGGGCCAGTTTGGGGGATCAAAAGGATGTAAGTAAAGGACAGAAGAAAAGACTGGCTATGATGACAATATTCTGACTTCAATGCATTCTGAATCAGTGATCTGGACGCGTTCAGAAAAATCAAAAATCCTTATCTGCTTGTTCAAAGTTTGTCTCAAAGTATGAAAAGGAAAGGGAACAGAATGACAGCCAGGCATTTAGCATCTCTAAACAGGAAATGGCAACCTCCATGTTTTTCTAACCCTGATAGGAATCTGTGTTTTAAAAATGCATGCTTTTAATGCACATTAACGTACATTTTCATACATATCCTCACGTTTTCCAGCAAAGTGTGTGTTAAAAATATGTGCATTTATAATATAATTTTTAAAAAAAGGTATAAGAATGTAACAGTGAATTGGGTACCTTTCTCATGCCACAGTTAGCAAATGAGCCTTTGCCTGGTTTAGTCGGTCGGTCTAAAACAACTCCCTCTCTGTACTCCGACTCTTCATCTATTCTCACATGGTGAGGGCTGTCCAGGGGGTTCAGGAGACCTAAAATAGTCCAGCAAAATGGTAATGAGATGGCGTCACTCATATTCAATCATCCAACCTCCCATGTCTTTGCACAGTTACCTGCAAACTGCAAGTCCGGATGTTTGGGAAAGAAAGATTTTCTTAGATACCTAGAAAAGGGCAAAATAGAACAAATATACTATGAATAAATTTTGTCTAAGAAATATAGCTTGTTCAGCAACGTCTGGTACTGCCTAGAGCAGGGGTAGCCAAACTCCGGCCCTCCAGCTGTGGTGAAACTATAAATCCCATGATGCATCTCTCTCTGGGAGTCATGTCTGTGGCTGTCAGTCTTGCAATGCCTCATGGGATTTGTAGTTCCACCACAGCTGGAGGGCCGGAGTTTGGCTACCCCTGGCCTAGGCAGTGCCATGAGATTTTTGTCTGATCTGGCTAATTTCCTTCTTTGGTGGCTGCTATAGCCTCCCCTTCCTTTGCACTTTTTTTGTATTGACAGTTCTTTACATATTAAGTAAGGTTAACAAAAATAGTAGAGGTGCAACGAAATGAAAATGTCACAACCGAAAAAAATAAAATATGTCAGGCCAAAACTGAAAATGGTTTTTATTTTTGAACTTTTTCAAATATTTTAAATACATTTTTTTTTATATTTATTCATTTTTTATTAAATATTTTTTACTTGACTTTTAGGGACTTCAGGGAAATATTGGGGGTCTGAACAGACCCCTGATATTTCCCTTTTAAAATAGAAAAAGAGATTGAGGACTCTGTATTTTCAATCATTTATTCTGCAGCTCCTGTTATGAATGAACAGGAAGCCTCTAAACTGAGTGTTCATTTCATTCATAACATGAGGACAGAGTGTGTTTAACATCACCACAATCATGAATAAACAGGAGGTGATGTAGATCACTTCCCATTCATTCATAATTGAGGATATAGTAACCATACTATGTCCTCAATTATGTACAAACACTCAGCGATCACTGAGTGTTTGTACCGCTCTCCTTCCTGACTCACTGTCGCAGCAGGCTGAGCGAGCGGAGCTCAGCCTGGCTGTCTCCACCTACATACCGCTCTGCCGTTCTGTGACAGGAGGCTGAGTGGTGTGGGGAGGAGAGACGCTGGCCGCTCACAGCGCTCGGCCACCTGTCACAGTTTCTCTCCTCCCCGCTGGGACACAGAGCAGCGCCCAGTGAGGAGGAGAGAACAGGATGCACCGCTGTATCGGCCAGAAAATGCAGTTTCGGAATTATGCCAAAAGTGCCATTTTCGCCGATATGTTTTGGCGGCCGATATATTGGTGCATGCCTATAAAATAGGCTAGCTCCTAGCATGGTATGAGGTCTGGACATGCATTTTAGCCACACTCAGTGATCGCTGATCGCTCAGTGCTTTATCTTCTAATATTTCTTGTAGTTGGCTCTGTCCTCATTAAACCAGAATCACTTAATTTCGTGATACCGTTTTCTCAAAGGAACTAGAACAAAAGACCATACACAGACTGCAAAAGAAATTACAATTCTTATTATGTACTTACAAAGATCCACGCAATCTGGACCCACACAGATAGGGCCCTTCAGTGCCCTGGATACAGTTTAAGCATTTAACGCGATGGAGCATGTTTAGAACACATACGCCTCTTTTTCTTTTCTTTTTCACTTTAGCATATACATATGTTAACGTTTTTGAACTAATGTGCGCATGCACTCTATGTTGGAGTGTATGTACTAGCTGTATTTCTATACTTGGAAAAAATTAATAAAAAAAAAACTTATGAAACTAAAAAAAATAAATTACAATTCTAACTTTAAATGAAATGTATGGGTCAGAGAGGCTACCCATTACAGTGATCAGCCAGCTGGTGCAGCAAGTGAAAGGGTGGTAAAGCAAGACTGGGGCTATACAGTATCAGAAATTGTCATATTTTTCCCATTACAGTGCCCCAGGATTTGAGGCTTCGACATATACCTCTGCATGCAAGTATTTTATTCCTATAGACAACTTGAACGACAGATGCCCTTTAAAAATAATGACTTACTGAGGACATTCTAGATACTGGAGTATTCTTGCTAGTTGCACGCAGGCCTGTCCTTTCTTCCCCACACCCTCAAAGTTCCCCTCCATGCTCCTGTAATGTAAACCGAATCATTGAGCAGGAAAGCAGCACGGACACACAGAATACACACCAGTATGGGAAATATACAGAACATACTTTGACCCTTCTCCAGTCTCATCAAATATCACAATCTCATCCACACAGAAAATGGCACAGGCTCGTGCTATCTGTCCAGCCAGGTAAGTCCGCAGCTCTGGAGACTGGGCATTGTCCAAAATGGATCCCGGTAAAGCCACGCTAAGTGTGTACTGGCAACCTGTGGAAAAAAGCTTGTTCAGCCAAGTAAGAAACAAATCCCTACTGTCATGCAGAGAAACCTAAACCAAAAAGGATGTTCAAATTCAATTGGTCTCATTTTGTCGAGATTTCCTTCCACTTCCGGTTGCGTCTCCAGGGCACAAAGTGAAGGGAGAACACCCCAGCTGGACCTTCCCTACCCAAAACTAATTAACAACAATATGGCTTCAGATACATTATAAGAGAATCCATATTTGCTAAAATTTGGACCAGACAAAATGCTCATCAGGGGGGGAAGGGGGGCTGCAGGGACTGGTCTAGCAGCAAGGTGGGATCGAGGATCAGGTGAATATATCTTCTTTAATCCATCTCCTAGACTAAAATGAGCAGCTAACCCTTGCAGTGTGGAGGTAGCCCCGCTGTAAGGATTTATTTTACAAGTCCTGGAGTTTTGCATAAAGGTGGACCACTAACCAAAATGTGTCCCTGCTTAGTAGTACATCAGAAAGATTGTGCTTTACAGCTTCTTATTACAGTACAAACCTAGGTCTGGCACCCCACTAAAAAGTATGCATTATCTATTTGGCAGATAACTTACCTCAACATCTGTTAAGGAGGGAGTGATTCTAGTGGCTAGTTTGCAAAAAGGGATAACGTTACATGCCGTAGGGAACATTTAGAAATGTTAATTGTGCCTCTGCCTATAGCCTCTTAGATGTATATTTGCAATGTGAGATCTAAGGCACTGTTGTCTGACCGCTATTCTCTGCAGATTTAAAATGAGATTTGTTGATGTCACCAAAGTGCTGCTCGCTGTTCTCCTTGATAGAGCCTCTAACATGAAGAAGCAAAGCCTATACCAAGATGGCTGCCTTCACACTGAGATACAGTGTGACAAGGCATGATAAGCAGGTAATGAGTAAAGCCCGGTTCACACCTGGGCGTTTTATAGCGCGTTTCTACGCTCTGCAAAACGCTCAAACACCAAAATCCCATTATTTCCTAGGGGTACGGTTCACACCTGGGCGTATTACAGGCCGTATGAACGCGCTACAAAACGCCCTACGCCCAAAGAAGTACAGGAGCTTCTTTGGGGCGTTTTGCCGCACGTTGCCATTGGTATTCCCGAGTGTGGATCGGAGTTAACAAAGCGGTAACCCCGAGCCACACTCGGGAATACAGCGTACAGGTCTTACCTTGTCCGCAATCCCCGCTGCGTCTTCGGCGGCTGCCGACTTCCGTCCCTTGCGAGCGGCCGCGTCGCAGGGGGCGGAGCCGGCGGGAAGTTTAAAAGTAAAAAAACAAAAACATTTTTTTTAATAGTGAAAATAAAGAAAAAAAAAACCCAAAAAGAAAATCAGACCGCCAGTGAAACGCGGAAAAACGAGCATAAAAAAAAGTGTGAACCCAGCCTAAAAGAGCAGCTGCATAGAGATACCAGGCAATACAGGTGACTAGTCCTTTGCCTGCATTTTTTGGGCACAGCTTCTATAGTTTAGTTCCTCTTTAAACACAGTAAAAAAAAATGTTTTAAAACCCATAGAAAAGGAAGCATTTCTTTTTTAAATGAACCTGTGCTTTGTCTGGACTATGTGTTAAAGTTCACTGAGCCAGCTCATTAAAAGGTTGGCACTTTTGGAGCTGGGGAGCACAGAACACTCCTCCTTGCTTCCCGCAATGCTTGAAGATAGAGGGTCAGCTGATAGACCCAAGTGAACCCGTTACTTTGCCTAATCTTCAAGGAAGCACTACAACCCCCCCACCCCAAAATACACTTAACCTGCAATGATAAACCCGATATCTTCCCATCTGCTCTGAAAGATTTTGATAGGCCATCATAAAACAAGTACCATTGTCTGCCTTTTTCTTCTCCTTTTCTTGTGCCCGTTTCTCTGCTTCTGCCTTCTGTAGTTGAGCTTTTTCTAGCTTTTTCAGCAAGTTCTCTTCTCTCCATTTTTTCTTTTGTTCTTTTCCTGTAAAGGACATCCACAATGCAATTATTTTCAGGAGGACAGCCTGAACCACAACCAAAAATGGGAAAAAAATCATCAAAGTTCTTACGTTTCTCTGACTCGTTTCTCCAATTTATCTTCATGTCAGATCCCTGGAAAAAAAAGGAGGCACATAAAATGAGCAGAAATATTCTGGAGCAATAAATACTCGATAATAGGCAGTTACAGATCTATGAATTATATAGCAAAGTACAGTCACTGTGCAGCACTACTACACAGAAAGCAAAGACCTTTAGTCACACCATCAACTCAGCACTGCACTCTGGAAGGATTAAAGTCAAACTTTTTTCCCCCCTTCCCAATCCTGCTGTAGGGACTTACCTTAAATGATGCCTCTTAATCCGATCATCATCATCTTCTTTCCTGTAGTTTTCAGCTGTCCCTCCAGCGCTGACGCGGGTCTGCGATCCAGCGCCTACTCCTATTCTCTCATGTCCCACAGAGTCTGTGCGGGTCCACTCTGCTCCATATACTTACCTTGCGTCTCTCGTCTCCCGGCCGAACATCCGACCTGCCCATGCGCGCGCCCGAGAAATTTTCAGATGTTCGTATGGGAGCGCGTGGCAGAGACACGGGTAAGTATTAACCCTTTGTAAAAGTTTTTTATTTATCGTTTTGCAAATATCTACTGCTTGCTAGCCATAGATATATGCAAAAACATGCAAAGGTTTAATAACCCTTTAAGGTGGTTTGTCAGCAGGCTTCCTGTTAGCAGATTTTTTTTTTTTTTTTAAGATGACGTTTGTTTTTTATGTGCATTCCATACAACAATAAAACTATTACAATAGGAAAAACCCGCTGCTGTTGTCTCTAGTTGCTATACTTAAAAGGAGAACTATGGGGTAAGTGGTTTTTATCCCCATAGTTCTCTTAAGGGTCACAGGAGCCCATATACTAGCATCCTCCCGTGACCCAAAGCTCAGTATACCGCGAGCTACAGCTTAGGGTAAACTGAGATCGCTGCAGCCGAGACGGATCCCGACATCACTGTCGAGATCCACCCAGCTGCGTGAGCGACAGCTGGCTCTGCCTATCTAGAGGCAGAGCCAGCTGTACCCGCCCCCTCCCCCGTCCGTTCCGCCAGTCACCGCTCTCTGCAGGGAGATGATCGAGAAGTGAGCGAGCGACGGTATGCGTTCGCTCACTTCCCGATCTATTGAGCCGACGTGTGACAGTTTCATTGTCACACGACGGCTTGAACTATGAGGTTGAGTGAAAATCAATCACCTCATAGTTCTCCTTTAAGAATTACGCATACCTTACAAGGTATAGTTACAGGTTTGAAAATACACGTTGGGGGGAAAAACATTGAGATACTAGAAAGGGTAAAAAAAAATAAAAAGAAAAAGTCCATACACATATACTGAGTAACATAAATGACATAAGAAACACCTGAAATGGTGGAGGTATATGCCAGCCATGGACCCCACATTTAACCGAAAAATTGTTGGTGAACTTTATTTTCATAAAGGAATTTTTATAAGAGTAAAATTTGTGGTCACGGAGTATTTTCCATGTCCCCAGGGATGGATTCTTCAACACTAGGGGAATAACCTTTTAGGCATATAGGGAAAATCTTAGGAGGCCCGTTGAATGTTGGTTCACCTCCAACTCCTCGAAGCCTAAAAGGCAGACTGTGGAATTACATATATCGGAAAGGGCCAGAGAACCCTTCATGATCGCATTTCTTAAAACAGCGTGGATAGGACCTAGAGTCCAGTTTCAAAAGGATTATATTTTGTAGAAAAACTTTGCTTGAATAATCTTATCCCTACATGTAATTGTCTTCAAAACTCATCCAGGCAATGAGGGACAGCTGGGGTACCAGTGATAGGGTATAGTGGAAACCTTCCGTTAGAGGAGTTTTTCAATAGTTGAAATTGATGCGTTTAAAAGGTATGTAGATAGTACTGGGCAGGGAGAAGAGATAAAGGAATTTTGGCAAAAAGTATTTGGACCATTCTACTACGCTTAGCTGAGATGAGGGGTGTACGGTATGTTAGAGACAATTACCGAGTCTAGTGGAAACAAAATGTAGACACACAACATTTCCACTTATTTTAGTTTTGAAAGAGACAGGAACTTTGATTCAAAAATATTAGGGCCAACTGCAAATACATTCTGACAGGTAAAGTTCCAACACTTCTATGTGATATCGGAGCTTGCCACTAAGCCTTACCCTCTCTCATTTATCTTGGCCAATTTCTTATGGGCAGTCACACTGGCCTACACCAATTTGCAGGAGGCAGTAAAGGGTGGGCAAGCTTTGGGACTATCTGGAAAAGAGAGAATAAGAGTAGGTATTGACAGGGAGGATCTGAGCGGGGAGGAAAGACCGGAGGATCTGAGCGGGGAGGAAAAACCGGGAGGAGTCTCTGTCTCTTCTCGCTCTCTCCTCCCATGGCGCTGTCTCGTCTCGCTCTCTCCTCCCCTGGTGCTGTCTCGTCTCGCTTTCTCCTCCCCTGGCGCTGTCTCGTCTCGCTCTCTCTCTCCACCCCTGCCGCTGTCTCGTCCCGCTCTCTCCACCCCTGGCGCTGTCTCGTCCCGCTCTCTCCACCCCTGGCGCTGTCTCGTCCCGCTCTCTCCAACTGTCTCATCTCGCTCTCTCTCCCCCTGGCTGTCTCATCTCACGCTCTCTCCCTCTCTCCCCTGGCTGTCTCTCCCATATATTCTCCCCAAAAAAATTAACACAGCCCAAGTGTTCGGGTTAGGCTTGATGAAAAAGGTGGAAACCATCTGCCTGAAAGCTTTATGCAATATAAACTGCAGATTTCTATGTCTTTGTATGCTTTTTTTTTTTCCACGAAGAGCAATACAGCCATGTACTGAATGCTGCCCCTCACAGCGTGAACACAGCCTCAGAGAACCAAATACGTAGCTGCCAGTTAAATCCGCATTTGCCATAAAAAAAAAAAAACAGATATTGATGGTGCCGTGTACAGAAACCGTCCGCCTATATCTCACAGAAGTTTCCCTTCAGCACCTTCACAAACAAACATTAGCCAGCTGCCACCACACAACATCCCCTCACCGGATCCAGCCTGGCCCTCTTCTCCGCCATGCTTCACCCACGTGGTCCGCAAACTTCCGCTTTGCAAGGACTCCCGTAGCAACCAGCGGAGACTGAAAGCCGAGAGCCACGTGACCACAACCATAGCAAGAAGAGAACCGCACCCACTGGGAGGACCTGACGGCCATAGAAGGGGAAGTGGGCGGAGCTAAGCGAGTGCTGACAGCTGTCAGATGATCTGGGTGAAAGTGGTGGTGACGTTTTATGTCTGCGGTGTGTTCCAAGAACAACGTGGTTTGGGGTGGCAGGAGGATTCAGATATATGTAAAAGGTGCACTCAGTGGGGTGCAGTGTGTGAGTGCTGTGTGCACCATGGACGGGGGTGCAGACTAAGGAGCGGTGACAGTTGTGATCCATGGAAGGGGTGCAGTTTGACTATTCTGTGCTCAGTGCAAGGGGGTGACTGTGAGGTGTAATTTCTGTATGGGGTGCTGTGTGACTGCTCTGTGCTCTATGCAATCGGGTACAGGGTGATCACTGTATGGTCAGTGTAAGATGCATGTAAGGGAATGTCACATGACTGCATTCTGGTCAGTGCAAGAGGTGTAGTTGGATGCAGTGGGGTCCATATCATTGTGGTGGGGAGTATGCTTAATATAAAGGGGCACAGTGTAATTGCAGTGTAGTCCATATGATGGGGGGAATGCAAAGTGAGAGGTGCTTCATGATCTGCGTTATGGGATACTGCATGAAGTATGCTTGATGAAATGAGGTGCAGTGTAATCCATTTAGATTTAGTATCTGACAGGCATCAGTCTCTTGTAAATGCTCTGCACAGAAGCGTCCAATTTGGTAGAGGGAGCCACTGCTAGGTGCCAAGTAGCTGGGCTGCATGCACATGTGCTTAAAGGAAACACTAACAGGAGGCGAGAGCAATGACAGCTGAGGGGTGGGACTGCTGCGGCTCCTCCTTTACTGTGAAATCACTGGTGGGGTCAACTATGACGCCAGTCATGGGAAATCCTGACTTTCCACCCGGCTTAGAAGATGGATCGTTTTCGCGTTTCCAATCTACTTACACATTTTGGGAATCTCCTTTTTGGTCCTCCAATGGCACAGCTACTCTTATGGAGTCACGGTTTCCCCTCCCTGACTGCATCACTTCCTTACTCTTCTTCTAGGTACCGCTACTCCGAGGTCAGATTTGTTCACCTTTGAGGAGATCTGTTTGTTGGGTATATGACCTCCGTGTTATGGAGGAATTGACGGCAGCTCTGCACCATATGGAGGAATAATTTTAAAAAGTCTAGTTTTACTGGCTTGATTTCCTCTACTCCCAGGAGTATGGTTCTCTAGTATCTGCCGGGGTTTGGTCCTGTAGGGGGTTTCGGTCCTTTGGTTGCAGCTCACCCATAAGCAGATGGTTCTTCCCGGTGTTGTCCCCCAACTTTCTAACAGTTACTCTCTACAGCCTCACTTTTTTTTTTCCTTCTCGTTTTCCTCCTTGTCTTTTCCTTCAGGTGGGGTTGTAGTACACCAGGGATGGCCAAACTGCAGCCCTCCAGCTGTGGTGGAACTACGAATCCCATGAGGCTTTGCAAGATTCTCACAGCCACAGACATGACTCCCGGAGAGAGATGCTTCATGTGATTTGTTGTTTCACCACAGCTGGAGGGCCGGAGTCTGGCCATCACTGTAGTACACGCTTGAGTGGTTACTTATTCTCCATTCAGCCTGCTATATTGGTCACTTCGCCAACGCACGCAGCTCGTTCTAATTTTCTTGTACCTCTGATTTTATGCTTTTTATAGTGTGATTTTCGTGCACTTTATGCCTTTTGACTTATCATTGCACATTATCATCTGTTGTTTCTGGCTTTATGTTTTCGTGTATTCGTTCTACTTTTGTTCCTGTTTTCTATTGCCATTTTGTATATTAAAAATTTATAAAGAAAGATTTGAAGAAAGAAAGAAAAATCACTGGTGGGGGCAGGGACTAATCTGGCCTCTTTATCACATCCAGACGAATCAAACATTGAGGCTCAATAAGAAAGGTTACCTAAATGGCTGTTACTATGTACTATTGTCCAAAATCTATACCAGACTTCTATGCTAGATAGTGGGCTGGTATGGATTTTAAGGTGGGGGGACCCCACACAATAAAAAAATAACATGGAGTTTTTTCCTTTACTTCAGAAGCGCCCCCCTACTCCCCCAGAGTCTTCAGTCCCCCCCTTCACATCAGTTCTACCTTATAATCTTCTGCAGCATGACATAGGGCAGGATGTAGAGCAAGTCTTGAAGGAGGTGGACTTCTTTTGAATGCTGGGGGTGGTCCTGGCTGCAGCTCTCATGGATTAGCATCATGCAAATCATGGCACTGGTGGCAGCTCGCCAGCACCATGGGCATACATGATACTGTGCAAAAATTTAAAGTGATGCTAAACTCAGGAATTAAATCTTAAAAATACATTCAAGTACCTGAACTATTAACAAAATTGTGTATCTTATTTGTGTATCACTCAGCTGTAGATCCTCAAATCATCTCTAAATTCATCCTGACACTGTCCCTTCTTCTGCACGGTGGCTACTTTTGTTCCCCATGGTCCCTGTGTGTTGGAAAGTAACCACTGCTCCAAGCTCGCTCCCGTAATGAACTACAATCTCAATACAAATTAGTAAACTAAATGTGAGTTTGTAGTCCATCACGGGAGTGAGCTTAGAGCGGTGGAGACTACAACACACACAGGGACCATGGGGAACAAAAGTAGCCACATACAGAGAGCAGAGCTGTGGGAGGGACCCAGAAGGCCCCCACGCACTATAGTCTGTGTACAGTAGAGGGCAGAGACAAGACCTGCCACCCTGTACATAGAGAGAGCGCAGCAGTGACCGGTCTTGATTACAGGAAGCTCCTGCACAGAGGTAACTTTTTGCATTGGATTACTGCACAGATCTGGAAGAAATACACAAAGCTCACCAATAGTCAAGAATACACATGACTCTTGTATTTGGAGAATATTTACTTATCCCGGAGTTCAGTATTAATCCCAGCCAAATGTAAAATATTAACTTTACCTTCAAGAAAATAATTTTATGTTTACATGTAGGATATATTGTATCAATTTTCAACACACTTTTCAATAATGAATTCTTCTTACAAACAAAGCTGCACTTCCATAGATCTCCGGATGCTAAAGCAACTTTGTATTGATATAAACGAATACATACTGTGAAACAAAACTCCCATGTGTATACCACCTCTCACCGATCTGGCTTAAAAGGAGAACTATGGGGTAAGTGTTTTTCCCCATAGTTCTCGGTATGTGTTCGCTCACTTCCCGATCTATTGAGCTGACCTGTGACAGTCTCATTGTCACACGTCGGCTCGAACTATGAGGTTGAGTGAAAATCACTCACCTCATAGCTCTCCTTTAATCATAGAGGCCACGCTTTCCCAATAACACACTAACACAAAAGGCAAACAAATACCAAATTTATTGGACAAACAAAACTTACACTTATCAACAGTCTTTGAGGAGTGATTTTTTTTCCTGGCCCACTTGGCATCCCAAAAGCAATACCAAGAGGACCAAACACAAAAAAACACAGATCTAGGAAAGATTACAGAATTCTTTTTTTTATTGGATTGAAATTTTAAAGTAGTTTCAAGTAAGAAAAGTGTGGTCCCACAGTTCATAGTGAACATCTTTGTGATTGCTATGTTTGGTGAAGAAGGCATCGGTCATATCAATTAGCTGTTCGGTATTAAACGTGACATTTTGGTGTTTCAGCTGCTATAACATTTTTACTGGTTGTTGGGCTTGCCCCAAGCCAGAGGATTTGATTGGTTATTTAAATACCCTTTGTATTCTGACCCCAACAGTTGGGGGTCAGAAGTTTTCTATTGTTACGTTAAAAGGAGATTTCCATGAAATGTCAAATTATTAGGTTATTTTATTTTACAGCTTCTCATATTGTTTACATCATTCAGAGAAGTCTATCCTTACAGCAAAATATGTACTGACAAGCTGAATACCAGATTGCGGCTGCTGGGGGTGTGGCAAGCGGAATCTGTAACTGCAGTCCCCCTGTTGAAGTCAACCTGTCAGCTCAGACTTAAAACTAGAAAAATCTTGCCCAACAGCACCTATAACTTGAATTAACCAAGAAGCCCTTTGTGTGCACTAAAGGGAACCCTGTCACCAAGCCACCCCATCTTAGAAGATAAACCCTGCCCCTAGGTATAAGTATCACCTACATCCCACTATCTAATGGGCGCATCTCAGTGACCAATAAGAGTGCTGTCCCTAGTTAGTGGCACAGATGATGGGTCGAGCTGGGCTCCATAGTCAGAGAAGTCAGGCCCCTAGTGACACAAAAGTGGGATTCCAGAGAAAGCACATTGTGGTACAAACTCATAGGCAGGAAACCCTAAATTTTGGAGCAGCAGGATACACTTCTTTCTGGCACACCAAAGATATCTTCTTGCTTGCGATGGCCTAGTAGAAAACACCTTTGAAGAGAACTGGCCATGTACAAAAATGTCTGACCTAATATTTCCTAAAAGAAGGCACCACAAGTTGGTAGTAAGCGGCTACCAACTATGTTTTAAGGGCTACCAAGAGTTCCATAGACCCAAACATGGGCACTTACTTGAGACCTGACTGAGGGCTATGGCACCTCCAGTAACAATGATTCTTTCACAAGAATTTTACTAATAAAAGTTAGTTGGATTATGAAAAAAAAGTCACATAGTAAATCGAGTGCTCAATATATGTATACAAAAAAACAAAGCAATGGTACAAGAACAATACCAGAAAGAGAGCATATCTCCTACATAAGTACCAAAATATACGGGAATGGCATTAAGAGACCCAAGTGTAAAATGTTACCATCTTATGAAATGTGGGAATGAAGAAGGAAGTTAATCATATAGTTTGTTTTATCACAATAGTATAGTTCAAAAATTTGTTAAAGGGGAATGGGACAGTCAGTGAGGGCAGGGTAGCCTTCAAAAGAAAGGAAGTATACAGGGGAATAGCGAAGTGTAAAAATGTCAAGGCAGTCAGGATTTTTAATGAAGTGTCAGCAATCAGGGCTGAGTCACCCATCAAATAGTGGGAGGCAGTGGCGTCACAAGGGGGGGTGCGGCCCGCACCCGGGTGTCACCATTGCAGGGGTGACACCAAAATGGGTGACAGTCATTTTGGTGTCACCCCCTCTAAAAAGGGGTAGACCAGGGGACACCCGGCCTCGGTCTGAAGCTGAGGCCCATGTAAGGAGGTCACTTAGGTTTGGTGGATTCCCCAGATGACTATAGAGGAGAGAACTCCAGCTGTGAACTTTTAATAACATTAATAACATCTAGTTTAGGAATGGTTTGTACATGACAGGTTATTTTTAAAGCGTATCTTAACCCAAAAACAATTATTTATATTTCTGCTTACCAGTCCTTAGATGTGGTGGCTTCATTCGTTTTTTTTTTTTAACCATGTGATCCTGTCAGTAACACACTTTCTATCCCCAGGTGACAACATTCACTCACTGTACTCTATGCTGTCTCCCTAGGATAAAACTACAGAATAACCTTTTTCTGTAGAATATTCCACACAGTTAGCTGGGAACAATAACTGATAAGTCGGCTGAGAGCACATGAAGTTCCTAGATTTCTGGCAGGATCAACAGGTATTATTGAACAGATATTACAAAACACTTTCAATAGTATATCTAACAGACCAAAAAGGAGTTCATTGTTAGAGTTTACATACACTTTAAGTAGGACAACCTTAGGCTGTGGATCAAACTTGCACAATGACCAATCAAAATCCGTGTGTGTGTGTGTTGTTCCCTCACACAGGACTATTTCGTCATCACATATAACTGCAATATGTTCATGTGCCATTTGGAACGTTGGCCCCTCTGTTTTCTAAGGTTGTTGCTTAGGGATATGTAGATTTAAAAAAAAAAAATGAAAATGCAATGAAAAGCAGCAACTTGAAGCAAAGAAAATGGCACCCGGCACTCTTTTCCCATCATGCACCTGGGTTTCCAGACTAAACAGCATAAAGGACTAGAGATTCTATAGAAGACTGTGGGGCTCGGTTTCTGAAATCTAAACTCTCCATTAAGCAAAAGATGGAAACCAGTCGGTGAGCAAATGGTTGGAAATCATTTTATATCGCATACTTTGATCATTAAGGGAAAATGTTAAACTGTATGTATGGCCAAAACATTTTTGTTTAGTGCTGGATAGTGTAGGAAAGGGTTAAAACCCCTGCCAGTTTATGTTTTTGGTTGTTGGCGTACTATTGAGTACATTTCTGTCCACTTTCTGTCCTAGAGGTGCAACAGGGAGTTAGAGGAAAATTCCTCAAAGGGAAATGTTCTTCTTAGTTCCCATAGGGCTCATTCACACTGGAATCGCCCGGCACGTACAGCTCCGTGCGCGGCCGTATCGGGCAGCTCCTGGGAAGGACAGGTGCTGTGTGTGATTAGTACGCAGCCCCCGTCCTTCTCTATTGGACTACATGGCCATACGCCCCCCTTACTCGGCCCACCAGGCACCCCCCAGTATCAAATATCACTTTTAGGTGGACTAACCCGTTACGACCTCATTCACACGAGAAACGGCCAGCACGTACAGCTCCGTGCACAGCCATATCGGGCAGCTTCCAGGAAGGACAGGTGCTGCGTATGATTAGGGCCGTACACCCCCCTACGCTCACCTCACGTGCAGGTCCGTACGGGTGCGTGTGTCCTGGCTCGGACGCAGACAGTATCCATCCCATCAGCGTACGAGTACACTCACCCGCACCCACAGAAGGACAGGAGCTTCATACTAATCACTCGCAGCACCTGTCCTTCCCGGGAGCTGCCCGATACGGCCGTGCACACAGCACGGAGCTGTACGTGCCGGCCGCTCCTAGTGTGGATGAGGGCTTACCTTTTGTTCTGGGAACAACTCAAATTTTGGATGTCCCATCACTTTCTCTCTCTCAATGACAGTGATTACCAGGACATAAAGAGGAGAAAATCTACCGTATGGACTCGGAGACTGCAATAAAAACTTGACAAAAGGGTCTAACGTTTCTCCACTCTATCCAAGACTTTAAAAAAAAAGGTTTTGCCAAAGATATATATTTTTTTTTTTGTAACTTAATAATCTTTTTATTAACGATTATCAAATCCTAGAGATATAGTTTAATATCTACCAATCTTGGTTATTTATTGGTGTACGGTTTTTTAAAAACCCCACATTGTCCAGTATGGGTTCTCACTTGGTACCATGCAACTGCAGAAGCACAGCTTGGTTACTGCACAGTGGTATCCATAAGTCTTTACAATAACAAATCTATCAGCACAATGGAGTAACTACGGTAAACTAAACACATACAGGAGAAGGATGCCTCTCCATTTATGGAGAACAAGTGATATTGCAAAGAATGTGAAGAGGCAGGAACTTAGCCTACACCTGGAACCATATAGCACTTCAAATGACCCCCAACAATGATTTTGGGCCTTGAATACAGAAGCTGAGACTGCCACCTATCGCAGTCGTTCAGATGCCAACTGCCATTTTGTTTGTAAAATTAAGAGAACCTGTAACAAAGGCATGGAGACTGCCACTGCTGATCTCCTTCTGTAACTGCTAGCTGCCTGGCTGTCATGCTGACTCTCTGGTTTCATGAGCCATTGACCTTAAAACATGTATGAAGATCAAGAGTTCAAACTTTAATCCAGCATACTTTTTCTGGGTCATGAATTCACCGGGCCAGCATACATACCAGGCATCTAGTATTTTGAATGTAAGTCAGTAACAGCAGCATTCATATTTCTGTCATGATGTCTGGGCAGTTGGGTTTACTGCCTATGCAGCAGTACACCCAACACAGACATCTATGCTTAAAGTGAACCTGTGCTTTCCTTATGCTAAGCATCCAAGAGGATAACTCTGATGGCAGCCCAGCCATATGCTTATACTTACATGGGTAGGAAGGCTTTAACAGCATGGGGGGGTGGGTGAGTCTCAGGGAGATGGGGTGTTGGGGGTTCAAGTCCATTGAGGCAATTCAAGAAGCCACCCGGGCCCATGGCTGCTTGTGCCACTGTTGCTAGACCTCAGAGGCACTTTGTTCAACTATGGTCTTTCTGCCCTGCCCAGCAAAATCCCTACAACCTGCTGTCATTTTGACAGCCTGATCCAAATCTGTCCTGCAGGAACACAGACAGTGATTGCTGCATGGATAAATAAATAGAACATAATTTTAGTGTCTTTAAAAATGGTATCTGATTTAGGGCATGATATTTTTACTACATTGACAAAATATGCAAAGTCTAATGACTCAACTGATCATAATTACATTGTGGTGTTTACGATTGTTGTTCCGGCTTTCAGCCTGCTACTTTTACGGTTCATTCAGCCATATAAACAGCACAGCTGGGGCAAGGGCACCTAACTGAAAACAGCCCAGGGCCTGAGGCATACTTAATCTGCCACTGGTGGCACTTAACACTACCTTTCAACAAAGTTGCCTCTTATCTCTGCTTCCTCTTAGGCCTATTTCCTTCAACAATGCAAATGTGCCTGGAAGAGAACTACAAAAATTGCTTGAGGATTTTCCATACTCCCAGTAGTTAGTGCTCTGATGAGAGATAGATTGTTGTATAGCTGTGCTGAAACAGTTTAAACTGAAGGAAAATCTGTGGCTTTAGGCTTAAGCTACATTGGCTACATAGCTTTACAATGACCTGTGATTATTTACTGAGAGTAGACATTAATCTCTCACTCAAGTAAAAATGCCTCCCTATGGTGTAAGCTACACAGCAGCGAAGATTAACTGCACATAACCAAACAATACTTTAGTTGCAAGCAAATGACCACAGCTACTTACTGACATAGGTAGACGTTTGTGCCATCTGCTAGCAATCTTGCCAGACTCCGGGCTATGGACTTTGCGTGCCCGAGCTACTAAAAAAGCCCTGTGTAGGTCAAACTTGTGTGCAGGATACAACATTAATGCAGAAATTTGATTGGCTGCTGTGGGCAACACTGTCTGTTCCTTTTTTTCAACCTATTACGCAAAGGGCCATACTGTGTTTTCAGCTGTCCACTTACATCAAATAGTTAGTCTAAGAAAGATAATCTTCTATAATTTCTAAACAATACATTCCCTTATAGAAATCAAGATGACAGATTCTGGGAAGATATATTAAACACTTCTCCAGAAAACTATTACTAAACAAAGTGTGGCCACATGCAATACGTGGCAGCAACTAGCTATTGTGGCGGGAGGAAATCATACTTCATCTACATTTTACGTTGCTTGATTCTGCACTGATTCTGCACCAGAATGCAAAGCTTTCAAATGACACAAGATAACAAACAGAAAAGTCATTAAAACCCATAAAATAATATCTGAGCAATACACAACCTCATTAAAAATCAATTTCTTTCTCTTATGAAATGCAACATGAAATTTAAACAAAGAAACACTTAGTGGCTTAGGCCCAAGTAACGAGACAGCTTGGATGCACCTTGGCCTTCCCCTTGAGCAACTCGTTGCTACAATTGTCATCAATATAGCCATCTAACACCTGGCATACAATGATGAGCACTTCAGGGTTCTGAACAGGTTTACACAAAGCCGCTCCAAGGCCAGAAAATGTCTCTAGTGCATTGGCTGGTCATAAACGGCCAGAGCAGAGGCACATGGGAGAGCACGGCAAGTCCCGGCCATACACCTGTAGAATAATCCTTTAGGAGTGTACAAGGCATGCTTAACATGGTAACACTTCACTGAACATGTCTGTCCATGTAACAAGTTTGGAAGATAGCTGACCTGTCCTCAAACAAATTTGGATCAGCGGTAACTGTGATGTTGATCTTGTGAGGCTGATGGAGTGAAGTGCACAGGTCACTGTGTTGCAGAGTCATGGTCAGCCATAAAGTTGAACTGGCTCCCCTGAGGGTGAGGCCTGTCCACACATTCTCATTTAGAATCCTGAAGCTCCTTGGCTTTTTTCAAGATGGGCAGCACATCTGCAGCCGACAGGGGGTAATC